ATATTCATAAAGTTTTTTAAACAACTGACCAATAAATAATATGTCTGAACCAGTACTTTTAATATTAAATAGAACACACAAAATCTTTTCCAGTTTTTTTTAGGTTTTATTGTTTTCTGACTGTAGCTTCAAATAGTCAAATAACATTGTGACTTTAACAAGAACATTTAAATAAAGACACCCATCTATTAGAATATGTAACAGCTAGATTAATGTGAGTGTTTCATAGTGTGAATTGACATTCTGTATTTCGTTTGTCTTTTTGGTTCATCTGCTTTTCAATTGTCTTTATATACTGGTACAATCTCGATCCTTGATTGTGTCATACTTGGTGATATGAGTAAGCCTACATGTATATGCTTATCTACATTTAACAAAATTATATCAGAAACAATGGTACTGCTTAAAGAAAACCAACCTAGTATTATAATCAATCCATATATATGTGCACCTCCAAGATTTTGATCTATATCCAAATTAGTCCATTCCTACCATAGACAGACTATCTTGATACGACGCTGACTAAAATTTGAAAACTAACGGGCATTCATTTAAAAATACTTTAATAATTATGTTGTTTTTTTTTTCATTACATTACAGTGCTGTTATATATTGCCTAACCATATATTACTAATTTAAACCAAAGTTTTGTTGAAGATTTAGTTATATATATTAAACAGTACTCAAATCTCTTTCTAAACAGATACGTTACAATGATAAACAGATACGTTACCAGAAGTTATACAGTCCTCTACATTTTATTTTTAATACAAATTTTGCAAACCAAAAAGATATCAACATATATTTATTCCAGGAAATAAAACAGTAAATCTTTATATGTTTCTTTCCTGTTTTTCAACATTTTATTTTCTAGAAAACTCAACTAATCCTTGAATTTCAAATTCCTGATTCACATTTTCAGTTTTCCAATAAAATCGAGATCAATGCATCATTTATCGGCTACACGTACGTTATGCTGTAATTTTTAACATGAAACCATTTCAAAACTGAGCAAAATCGCCAATTAAGATTCAAACCATAAATATTGGTAACGTATCTGTTGTTCAAAAATCTAAAATATATTAGATATAATACATATATGTTTTCCAAATAGATCAAATATTAAGTTTTATAAAGCATATATTTGAATAATGCATAAATGCGATCCTACTTTTAAGTGCTGGTAATAGTAAATGTTTCTCAGTGGGATATCATGGTAACGTATCTGTTTCACTTTAAAGTATAATCCAAATTGCCTCATCATTGCAAAGTCATTGTGGTTCTAGCATGTATATTGTAGTCAAAATTATTTTTGAATTATGAAATATGATAAAACTTGAGTTCAATAGCAAACTATTAATATGTTACAAGTTCATATTACTCTTACTCAGGTTTACCTTAAGTGTGGTAACGTATCTGTTCAATATATGAGGGACATGCATTTAAGCTGGTAACTTTTTTCCAAATTCACTGCCGAAAACAATAAAAATCGTTCACTTAGCAGGGGCGTAACTGAGCTATTTTGATATGTACTCCTTAAATAGGGGGGTTCGAGGGCATGCTACCCGAGAAAATTTTGGAAGAGGAAGTGATATCCTGGTATTTCGTGACTATCTAGAGGCTTGATGACAACATATTGGTGATGATTTAAAACTCTTTTTATTAAATTTAAAATATGTAAAATGAACAAGTACATTATATGTACCATAAAACTTTTCTGATATTTATAATTGATTTTTTTTGGCAGCACAAATTTGTTATTTTGCGACTTTCAAACCGATGATATAGCAACAAATCTCGCGTGTTCGGTAAATTTTAAACTAAAAAAAAGCAACAAACAAACAAACCAACAAACAAAATCAAAGCACAGAAGGCGCTGAATTTGTTTGGGTCTCAGAATGTCAGAAAGGTGAAGGTTGTGAGATTATAAACCAATTTGTTTTTGTATAGTGCCACCAATGCTTTCCAGTGTTTTAACTGTAGATAATTGGCTATAAGACTAATTGCAACACTGATAGTCAATTCAATGTTTATTTGACTTAATTTAAAAAAAAATGAGTTGCCTCAACGGGGATTTGAACTCGAGACCTCTCGATTCATAAGCGAGCGTGCAAACCCCCCGGCCACGGTAAAATTATAAGTTAACGACCTGAAGAAAACCATATTATTCTAAATTAGGGTTTGTAACTCTTATTATTTCGACGCTAAACACAGATGTAAATAATCATGGAGCTTGCTGTAAGCATGTATATCTATAAAGAATGAAACAATATTAGAAATCTTCGACCATTCGGGAACTACTTTGCTTGAAAATTAATGCTCCTGTCATTTGACAATCTTTACGCATTGATCTACCCTGAATTTTTCGGCGTTAGTGTACATATAAAGGGAAGTAACCGCTTCAAAAAAGTGGACTACTTTAGGCATTTGCAATTAACAGCATTAGGCTCTGAAATTTCGCTACCATTATTTGTTTGGTCTGACGACCCAAACAAATAAAAACGGATTTCAGTTTGATAAATTATTGTAACTTAATTATAGCAGTGACACGGTCCTTGTTGAGAAAAGAATCACATGATCTCAAAACTGATTGTAACATCTGTTAGACCAAATTAAGTTTACCTTGACCCAGTGAATAAAATATGTAAATAAAAATCCCCAAATTATACCCGTAAGAAAAATTACCCTGCCATAAGAAGGCCAACTGGTTAGAAATAAGACCGGAGTTAAATAATTTTTCATGTTTTGCTCTTGTTTAATTATATATATTATGTATTGAATGCATTAGATATATAATACTAATGTATAATGAGAGTAATGCAGAACACAAGACTGAACGTCTTAATTTACTACATTTCATCTTCGCCAGGCGTGTACGACATGAGAGTAGGTGGAGTTAATCTGAGAGTTCAGATGTCATATATCTATACATGAATTGAAAACCAGAATATATAAGTGCAGAAAAGATGATAACCAATAAATAAACTGAATAAATGCTAGACGTTGTACGTGCATAAAGAGCCGTATGGATGTTATTTACGCCATTTTATTTTTCCGCCGAGGGACTTTATGGAAATTATGCATGTCATTTTAATTTTTCATTGGTCTACAGGTCATTCTGTCATTCCCAAAAAAAATCTGGATATTTCAGTAACTCAGAAAGTACAAAGGCTAGGTTGGTGATGTATCTGGATTCTGGATAAAGCACCATATGGAGATTAAGCATGTCAATTTTTTTTATTATTTTTCGATACATACATCTTTCATTCTGCACCTAATAAACTTAATCCTGCTAAAACTAAAAAGAAAGTAGCTAATTTGTTGATACTTGTTATGTGGTTATAGAACCGTATTAAGAATGGTTACGGAAATTGTGAAGAAAAAAATTGAACGAATCTAGATTTTTTAAGTCAAAAAGTAGATCAGCTACATTGATAATATTTGGAATGTCGATGGAAACGTCATTTCAGATTTTTTCATCGAAGATTAATTGAGGTTGCTATGGTTACGAACATCGTAATATAATAAAATCGAATCCACATATGAGCAAATTTAAAATTACGCAAATAATTAAATTTTCCTCTTTTTTGTAAAAAATATCAATTTCTTATATAAAGAATTCGTGTGTTTTAAAGAAATTGATATTTTTTACAAAAAATACTATAAAAAATCTGAGACATTTATATGGCTTGAGGCATTAAATCAAACACCATTATAACGGTATTAGACAGCTGAATTATCTGTGACAAGATCTTGTTTCCCTTTGTTTGTTGTTTTTTCTCTCTTATATTCTGCATGAAGTTATGAATATAATGAGAAGAACTATAAGACTATTTTTCCCTCTCATAAGATAAAGAAATCAATGAGGAAAAAACTAACAAAGTTAGATTTAAACCTAAATAAGCTAGATTATCAGATGTTTTGCGGGCGTCTGATGGTTAAATAAACGCTGAAAAAATAGGACTGAATCTATAAACATAGAACACAAGACACTTGTTTAACATAAATCAATCAAAGAAGGAAACACCATACCAGTCGCAATACATTTCGGGTGCAATGATGATGACAAATTTTATGAAATAGAGAAAAATAAAATCCATTAACAAAGTCCAAAAGGACAAAATTGAAAATTATTGTTGCAGGTCCGGCTTGATTGCGCTTGTGCATGGATAGTTATGGAAAGTGAAAACTACTGTCCACGTAAGTCATCCTTGGTAGGTAACACTACTCTTATTTGTACTTACATAATGATATTTCAATTTAAATATTCTTCGGCACAATCAAACCTGCAACTTTTTAAGTTTAGTACGAGATATTTAATAACCTTTGGAGAATAAAAATGTTTGGATTTGTGTTGTGTTAATTGACCATATTAATTGTTCAATAAATTCTATCTCCATAGAACAAAATCACATAAATTACTAGATGATAATTTGCATTTGAAAAGATATATATTTTTTGAGACTTAACGCATTAATTTTTTTATTGAAAACTACGAAGATTGGTGTCGATTGTAGACTTCAAATGTATATTAAATATTGGTTTCCAATCTATTTCATTGTCATCAAAATGCGTTCCCATTTGAATGAAGTTGGTTTTTCAACAGTTATGGCATTCATTTGAAGTTTATACAACAACTGATTTGGTGACTTTTAAATCCCTAACCTGTGTAATTCTATTAATCAGAAAGATGGATTACAGTAAGAATTTCACCACATTTTTTGGTTTAATCTCTTGTTATTCAAATAAAATGTCAGTGTATCAATTAGTGGTATTAAACCTATATTTTTTATGTTCGCATATTCTGGGTCGAATATTCTTTGTACGAATTTATAACATTTTACCATAGCCGCATTTTCGAAAAACCTAAAAGCATAATATATAAAATATAATGAATGCTAAATATTATGCACTTTATAATTCATTGAAAATGTTTACTTATCTGTGTAAATATTATAGAATACGTGCAATCTATCAGTAACTTAAATCAAATTCGCATGTACATTCTGAAAGTCAATTCAAAATGGCGGAAGAAGGCGAAATTGATGTTCTTGGAGATTTTGATTTAAAACTTGAGTAAGCAATAGGTTTTTGGTTACTTATGCAAAGAAAATAGTTAGAAATAGACGATGCTCTTTTCTATAGATACAAAAGAATTAAATCTGTCAATATCCTTGCCCTTAAACGGACGCTTTGTTCAAGCTTCTGCAAGATCTCAAAATCTACTGTGCCTGTGGTCTGAATATCCTTGCCCTTAAACGGACGCTTTATTCATGATTCTGCAGGATCTCAAAATCTACTGTGCCTGTGGTCTGAGATCTGAAACAACACAGTTTGTACCCCCCCCACGCCTTTCCAAAATGACGATTTAATTTTACAGGGCTCATCCGGAAGGGCGATTCAGGCGAAAACTTCGCCGTGTATATTTCCATTTCGCTCTCCCAATTGATCAAAGAGAAGTCAACATCGCCGATAAAATCTTAATTCCCAAAGAGTAATTACTTGGCGATGTAAAGAGCAGAGATTGTATCCGCCTATATGACGACTGCTAATTATCATTATCCAATCAGAGCGTCGCTTTATACTACCCGTCTACCTGTATGCAAAGCGATAGACCGCCTACTCTAATCAGTAAATAATGAGAGCATCGGCCCGAAACGGGTTTAATTGTGTGACAGTTTTGCGAGTTTAATACGGGATTAGGCGATAATTATAGATTGTTTTTTCCCGAACATCTAAACACATGCAAATCTTCCCTAATTGATATACACGCGGTGTTTAACCCGAGTAACGGTGATGTGCAATGGGTTTTTCACGGCTATCACAAAACTGTTAGTCAATTTAAAATAATCAATTTCATTACTGATCAGCGACTGGATTTAAAACTTAATCATATTCTGAATGATTTCAGTCCGTTAACATCAATTAAAAATTGTTATGTCGCCCACGTCATGGCTACGAAATACCCAAAACTAGCAGTAAAAGAAAGTTACTGATTCTGATACATCTACGCGAAAATTTAGAAAGCCAATTCGCAAAAATCTTACGATTGGTATATTGTAGACAATGAGAGTGTTTGGCATTGTTATCTTTGTAGAAATGCCAAATTTGACACAGCTTACGCACGTGGGCACGACATCCAGGAAAAACTACGAATCATGATCGGCATGCTACATATCGGTCGTATATCATGTACATGTATATAACAACAAAATTTGTCAGGAAAGAAGTGTTCTTATTGTTTCAAAATAGATATGTGTTTTAATGTCATAAATATGACGCTCAGATTAAGATTTATCAATATTGTAAATATCAAAAAGCATTATTTATAAAGATATTACGAGTTTAACATTTCAGGAAAATAAAGGGAGGTAATTAGAAATTTATTTTCTATAATTTCTCAGTCAAATTTTTCAATAAGAAATGAATGTATATAATTTTAGTGATCAAATATAATGTGCACAAATGTTTGCAGTACATATTTTACATATTCTTCGATGTTTGAAAATTGTTTTATAAGCATAATTATATGCACATAAATATGGCATTACAACATAATAGGTCATAAAAGAATTTCTGTAATCAGAACAGAATAGACAGATACTGTGAAACAATATCAAATGTAACTTTATATTCTATTAAAAGTGAGGAAAGTAGTTATATAAAATTAGTTTATTCATCATATTTTTTCTTACACTTCATTATCAATAAATCTACATGAAAATACATAAACAAATATTTAGAGAAAGCTTATAAATAGCTGATTTATATTATAGTTAACGGATGTATAGCCATGCATGTTAATGCATACACATTGGGTTGTTTCCCTTCTCCCTATTTTTTGCGAAGAAGTCACTTCTCCCTAAAATTTCCACCCAGGATGAGCCCTGATTTTAGTTAGCAGACCAAACGCATTGTTTACAAAAAACTGGCGTCCTTGACATTTCCATAGTTTCTTATTTGCCAGAGTACACAGGCAGAGTCTGGGTCCCACACACAGCCACCATCATCAACAAGCTTTGAGCTGGAAGCTGTGCCAAGGCAAGCTGCCTGATTTGTGAAAGGTGACTACAAGACTACCAGCAGCACCACTGCAATGATGGCAGACCTAGGCTGGCCAAAACTACAGCATCGCTGCTCCGATGATAAGTTAGTGATGATCTACAGGATCAGGAACAACTTCATAGCAATCTCAACTGCACAGTACTTCCACCCCCTGACACTTGGTGGCCATGACTACGGACACAGATTTCATGGTGGTGGTGTTGGTTGTTTTCACTCCGGATCACAATAGTAAGCCACATTGAATTTAACAGAGCACAGTTCAACCACCGCATCGTTCCTGGGCAGACTGGACAGCAGTTTACCTGTACTAGTTGCCGTCACTTGCGCAAGGAACTGAAATCATGTACATGCCAGAGCAGAGGTACAGTGCAAATGACCATAGAAAGGATTTCATAATCAATCTCAACGAAAGTGACCCGCGCCGTCCGGGAATCATACCCGGGTTGCCCGATTCACAGTCCAACACTCTACCTATTGAGCTAACCGGACGGCTACACAGATTCCATGTCTCATTCTGCAGAACCAACACCATGAAAATCTCCTTTGTATCCTGGGTCATCCACCTGTGGAACCAGCTTCCAGAGCACCTAGCCACAGCAGTCAGCCTTGAGCCCTTCAAGGGAGGACTAGTCATGGGGCCCTGATATACAAGAGTTAATTTTATTTTTACCCTGTTCTTCTTTTAAACTTGCGCTTGTTGGCCACACAACACTGTACATACACTCTGTATGTTAATGCCCCAGAGCGGGTTATGTACAGTACTGGAAGAAGAAGAGATCATATTTGAAGTCACAAAACATACTTGATGCAGAAAATGCATTTTAAAAACAACCTGTCATTTACATCCAGGATAATCACCATATCAAAGAAGTTTAGTATTGTGCTATCAAAACATCTTCATCACAGTCTTTTTGGTCAGACACCCTGCCATACATGCCATAATTTTGTGGCTTTTTTCCGAGACACTTCATTGATCAGCAACCAAATTGTTTCTAAAATTTATGTAGTGGCATAAACCTATATTGCCATTATTTACAACTTGCAATAATCATTAACTGTTTTTATACCTTTATTTTAAGTATTAAAGCTTAGTAAATTCAATCAGTCACAGAATATAATAAAGCTATGTCAAGCGAGGACAATTAGCCATGTTGTTTGGGGGGAAAAAAGCTGAAACATTTGCCGAATCCTGTAGACTTTAATCACCTCATATGTAGTGGTAATTTTCACAGTGTTTGAGCACTTAGTTGAGTTAATAATTGCCTACAGGCAGATTAATTTTATGCTGGCCAATTGTTAATTACAGTTTATGACACCTTAGCTCAGGAAGTCACAGGGGGTAAACAATTCATCTTTTTATTGTTCTAAATTATTGCCGATAAATGTTAGTTGGAAAGGGCACATAGATTTACCAATAAAAGGATTAGTGGCACCATTTAATTTTACTGGGGATAATCATTCCATTATTTAATAGCATTCTAGAAAAGTTAATAAAAACTTGACAATTATTGAGATTATATAAAATGTAAAATTTCTGGCTACAAAGTAGATTATTTTTAAGTTTAATTTTACCGGGACATAAATCATCTTTATGACAGATACCTTATTTCCGGGACAGTCCCAGACATCTTGGACATTATGGCATGTGATGTATGCACCCTGCCCTCCTTGCACAACCCTCATAAACTCTTGGTAACTTAAGCAAAAAAAAAAAATGTTTGTAGTTTATGCATAAAGATTCTAACATTCACATACAAAAATTAAGGTTAAAAAAAGTAAAGGTACCGTATGCACAGAAGAATCAGAAACTCAATCATGTATAATTTACAAATCATTTTTATGGGACCAGGGTGATTTCTTGAATTAAATTTTATTGAAATTGGTAAAATGCAAGAAAAATTTTGTGTTTCACGTCATTAATGATCATTTATAACTCCAAGTTTGCATGTCATAATACAATACCAGCTGCAGTGTGTTAAGGTAAAATGGTGGGGCTTATTGATTTTTGAACAATAGTTTTAAGTCAAAATGAAATCAAGAAAGGTCAATTATTTTCTATTGCTAATCTGTATATTATTTTTTTCTTTTACATTATACAAAAAAAAAAATCATTTGTGCCATAAATTTACAACATTTAATTTGCTATTTAACTTAAATAGGAACATTGGGCATATATGAATAATTACCCCACCACTGCTGAGCTTTGGTTGTTTATATCTATCACAGACTTACAAACAGTTCTGGGTTTTTTTCATTTAAGGGTAGACAGTAACATGTATGACAGTAATGAACTACCATCAAAGAGTGCTAACTTACTACCGGAATACACAGACCCACCTTGGATGCTGGAACAAGGCTGGACTTTAGACAATAGTTGTATGGATGAAAAATCAAAAGCTACCATTGAAAAAATGCTGCTTGAAGAACAGTATCCTTGTATAGATAAATTAAGTTTCTGCATGTCGTCAGTTAAATGAAGTCTTTACCCTGTTTCTTGATTTTATGATACATTGTGTCAAAGTTTGTTAGATTTTAGTTTCATTATTCTTCAAGTGTAACATTTGTAAAGTGTTTCTATTTAAAACTGAAGCAGTTCCAACTATGTGAATATAAGACAACAGAATTACTGATTGCAGCTGAGCATTTAATTTTGACGCCATTTGATTATTTAAAAAGAACATTTCAGTTTTCTTTTAATTATTAAAAAAAAATTATTTAGGCAAGTGAAATCTGTTATTGTATGAATTGTAAATCTTTTCTGGTAGAAATGTTTTGTTTTCAAAGAATACTGAATGTCCTGTATTTGCCAAAATTCCTGGTATATTATAATTATGCCTTTACTAAAGTAAAGATATTATATAAGTGGTAAGACGGGGAGAGGTAAACAACAGTTGGCTATGTCTGTTGGTGTTGGACTGGGAAAGAAGAAAGGAGAACAGAAAAAGATTGTCTGGACAAAGGAGGAAAAAGACATGTTCCATAAAGGAATGGTGAGTTCTAATGAAGTTGACCACTGCCCTTAAATATTTACTGTCAGTTTGATTACTTTCATTGTGCATTACTAGACAAAATGATGTAAGAAGTATGTAAGTATTTAATTGTATCAGGAAAAAGATTGATTTTTATGATGTGCAAAAGAGGAATGGTATGGAAATAAATAAATGACAAAATAAATAAAACTATTTTTCTTTTATATATTTTTGGATAGTGATGTGTGTATATTACACTTTGTGATGTATTTCCATTAGTAAAGGCTTTAATTTACTTAATTTTATGACAATGTCTTTGATTTTTAAATCAATCATGCATTTCTCAAGATCTGTAAAAGTTATATATATCAGTTACAAAGTAAGTCATGTGTTACCAGTTAAGAAACTAGAAATAAGTACAGGCTTTGAATGGAGTCATGTGCTGTGGTGACAACAAATATAATTTGGTAAATTTTAATATCATCCTTGCAGGAAATATATGGTAGAAGCTGGACAAAGATAGCAGAGCTTATACCAACACGGACAAGCACTCAGATTAAAAACTTTGCTCATCAGTTGTTCAGAACATTAGTAAGTATGGGAAAAATCTTATCAAAATATAGTAATGAAAAATTATGAATGTTATCTCCCTTTGACTAAAAGTTTAAATATGTTTAGTTTAACAAACTATTTGTTTGGATTTGTCCCGTTATATTGTTCATTGTGTTATTTTTCCGTGTACACAATTTTGTATGTACAGTACATATTTTACATATAATTGCTTGTTCTTTTTTTTCTATAACCATATTCATTCGTGTCTTTGAACTATTTCAGAGTAAAGACAAGGAAGTTTCGCCACCTAAATCTGAAGCATCAACTTCATCAACTTCAACCAGTAGCTCTCCAGTGACTTGTAGCCAGGATCCACTCACTCTAACTATAGAAACAGTAACTACGGCAATGCCAACAGTTCCAAATCTAGAAAAATGTATTCTACCCAGACGTGGGCGGATACCATCAAAAGAAAAACGTGTAATGAAAGGTAAATCAGCCAAACAAAAAAACCTTGTATCAAAAAGCTCCAGTAACAAGTTAACTTTTTCCCAGAATGCTAAGAAAGTTGCACGAATCAACCAATTAAAATGCAAAAGAAAATCATGTGATAAGAAAAATGGTTTGAATAAGCATACAGAGCATGTTACAAGTCATAGTACTGGTCAGCTGACATCAGATATTGTGCTGGACAAGAAATTGACAATAACTCCAAGTTTGATAGAAAATCTAGATGGATTTTGTGCTGTTGCTGATATTATTGGCGGAGAAAATGATGAGGAAAAGAATGTGGCCAATGAGAGTGATGATGACATTCATATTGATATTGAAAATGATGATACAGATGTAAACCCTCTTTTGATTGGTAGGTCCACTTCACCAAACTCTGTGTATGAAAAGTTACTGAACGAAGCAAATTTTAATGATAGTAATCAAGTTAACGAAAACACTGACAATATTTATACACAAAGTGGTCAGATTATGACTAAAACAGAAGGGAAGAAAATTGATAAAGAAACATTTTTAGAATGGAAAACATGTGAATCTCAAGCAAAAATAAGTGGAGAAGATATACCAGATATTGATGTACAAGCCAAAGTGACGGAAACCATAGGAAATAATACTGAACAGAATGAAGAACTGATTCCAGTAAAAAATGACATTGTAGTAAATGAGAATGAAAGCAGTTCTGTAACATTGGAGGATAGAAGTTTCTTAAAGAAGGAAGATACAGTGAAACAAATAGACACTCAAAAAGTTCTTGGTGAGTGATTGATGTCTTTAATTAGGATTTTTTTCTTTTCAGTATTTTTGATCTGTTATACCTTTTAATAAAAACAATCTTGTTATACATTTTCAGATGGCTTGTGGTTTTCTTGCCCTAAATTCTGTCACTAAATTTAAGCCTGAACTTCAACATTTTTATTCATTGAAACATACATTTATTGAAATGTTTTTGTTTTAGATACTAATGTAGACACAAAAAAAAAATTGTTTTTCTCTGAATTTAAGTGATATGATTTAATTTTGTGTTTATAGTGAATGCTTTAGTGAGAGATGACGGTGAAGTTGTCCATTTTCCTGTACCAGTTACAGAAATAAGTTTACAACCAAAGATGATAACAGAACAAGAGAAGAGTGTCCTCAAGGAATTTTTTGATAACAGACCATCAAAAACTCCTGAAAGATACCTGAAAATAAGAAATTACATCATTGAATCTTGGTATGTTATTTTGTCTTAAATTATGTTTTTAATATCTGAGAAATATCTTTAAGATAGAAAGTGGTCCTTTTGGCAGGATGATGATGGCCTTTAGGTCACATGCCCCTCATTGCTAAATGTTTTAATTCCCATCTTTCATGTGATACTATCCAGCTAACTTATGGAAGACTACGGTTCTACTTGGGTGCCTGAAATAATGCTTGCAAGGATACCTGAGGTCTTCCACAACCAGAAAAGCTAGCCTATACCTAAATTTAGTGGTGGAAGTATTAATTTATACTGCAATAAAAAAAATTATTTTTGATGTTGACAAATGATCAGATTATGGCCTAAAAGTAAACTGAAACTGTTAAAATCTTCTTGTATTGTTTTCAGGAAAAAATGTCAGCCTAGCTATTTAAACAAAACATCAGTGAGACCGGGATTAAAGAATTGTGGAGATGTAAACAGTATAGGCAGAGTACATGCTTATCTTGAATGTATAGGAGCCATTAATTTTGGATGTGGTAGGTTATACTGTGTTTAAATAAATTTCTTTAAACTAATTTAATTTTCACTTTTCATAGATAACTAAGTGGGAGTGATTGTTATGATCCTGTCTTTTGGCATTGGTTAACCTGGACAATTTAAGGTAAAAACAGTACAGCTGAAGTAAATTGCTAATAAGCATTCTTGTTTGCTTACTTCTGACAAATTCTATTTATAAGCTATTAACATTTGTAAAATTGATAAACATATCTTTTTTGTCATGACCCTCTCTGCGTCATTGGATTTGGTGTCTGTGTTATTTTACATTTTAGTTAAGGTCTATTTTCTCAGAAACTATCAAAGGTATTCACTATGAGCTTTGTATACTTCCAATATTCATTATCTGAAAAGACTCTTGTCTTTTTAACTTAAAAAAGGAACTAAAATTGTCATTGCTTTTTATTTACCCTTACCTTATTAGAACTTTAAATGATGACACTATAGTAATCAGTACATGTATAGACACATCTGTGTAGTCCAGCCTTGCTCCATACTTGTATTTGAAAAATTGAAATTTTCCTCCTGAAGTCCATTGAAGAAATTCAGCAGGTTATGGGTTAATACATTTACTATGTTTATTTCAGAGCAAGCAGCTTACAAACATCCAAGGTCAATATTTTCCCTAGTTGGTCGAGAAAAACTGTCCAAAGATTCTACATTTGAAGTAAATTCTGCAAAGTTAGAAGCTATGGTAAGTATAAAACATACTCTAACACTTTTGTAGATTTCTCTTATATAGACAAAGAAGGTTTTAAGCGTGATTTATTTCACAACAATGCATTAGCCATTCTTATTTCCTCCCTCTGTATTTTCAAACTGACACATTGACAGCGCCATTTTATTTGAAAAATCTGATAAATAAAAAACAACTTTTTGTTGAATTTTGTTCTGAAAACTATCTAGAATGATAAAAATTTGTCCAACTATGAAAATATATCCGGACACCAATATCTTTTATTCAGTCATAAACGCTGTAGAGACGTTTAAAGTGTCGTTCACGTGACATTACAATGTAGCGCCAAACAGAGCATGCAAAATCAGTCTAAACAAAAACGCTATTTCAATGTCGCAAAACCAGTTAAATTTCACATTTATTTCACTTATCACTTGAAAAATATAAAGTGAAATAAAATAAAACACAAAAATTTGATCAACGTTTTCAAAATTCACTATTCTCAAAATGTTTCTGCAAACGGTAAACTTAACAACAGTTTCTCTTCAACCGACTGGAACAGCCATTAAAGACCGTTTCTATTGGAAACTCTGAGACGAAAACAAATTTAAGCACCAAACATATAGTCCAACTATATTTTCTTTTCTTAATGTATTAGAATGTAAATAGATATTAATTCTTTGTGCATTATAGTATAATAATGCACAGTTTTTCGTTCAGATGTTTGTAATTGATCATTGATGCCAGCACTATTAAGTGTTGAGAATTGTGTACTGCTCAAACAGGTGCTAGGGGGCGTGAGGGATGTTGCACTTATTCATTATCCCTCATGTATAGACTCAATCAAACCGAGTCTGCAATTTTCATGTAATTTTGTTGTGATTAATGCTTCCGAGGGATCAATTTGTTTCCAGATTTTTATATCTAATTCCTAAATAAACATAACTTTGGGTGCACATTATGATCATGACTTGCAAATATCACTGGTATAATCTTGCCAGCTTGCATTAATAATATGGACACTTTGTTATTAATGTACATTGATATGAGTTGTTTTACCTAGGTATTTATTTGTACACTGTTGCTCTGTTAATATGTATATGTGTGGGTACAAGGTCTAAACCTGCAACATCCATGGGGTTATGATAATTATATAATGCTCATCTCGAGAGCAGATTGTGGACAGGTAGAATTTTATTATTTATTGCACTTAATACTTGTTTACATATAGCCAGCTGGATATACCATTTGGGAAAACAAATGATAAAACCTGTTAAAATGTTTATTTTTATTACAGAGACCAAGAAAAAGAAAAGTAAAAGATGCTTTTGGATTTTGGATTGATGAAAAAGACCTTGAGGGAACAACTTTTGAGGTATCTTGATTATCCAACATTTTACATTTCTGTAGAACATTAGTTTGTCCTTATGTACATACTTTACCTTTGCCTTGTTGGATCAATAACTAAAGAAGGAATAAGTTTCGGTCCATGTAACTTTGTAGGGACACTGACCATCACAAGTAGATGACACTTATCAGTTTTAGATCAAGGTCACCATGGCCTTGATCACTTAAAGCTTGTCTAAGCATTAACTGGGGAATGCTTCCATCTAATGTCCTAAGATTTGGTGAGAAGGTTGGCCATGTCTAGTAGATGATTGCAATTGATCTTGAGGTCAAAGTCATTGTGGCCTTGATGATTAAATATTTTCCAACTTAAGAATGCCTGACTTTTATAAGATATGCCTAAGTATGTAAATACGCCACTGACAAACGTGGGGGCATAAGTGTCCTTTGAACACATTATAAGTTTTAAACAATTTTATTGAACATAACTTTTTTGATCATTTACATGTAAATACCTATCATACTTTTTTCAGCATGGAATTTTGATTGAAAGTCAGCCAAAAGAGACAAAGCCAAAACAAATAAAAACAGCATATGATCCGTTCAAGCTGATACCATGTCTTTCATTTGATGATGAAAATCCTGTAAGTTTAAAATTTACAAGTTGTAAATTTCATCTCATTAAATGAGATAATTAAGTGTTGCAATGTTTATACATTTGTACACTGATATGATTTCTCTCTTCATATTTTTTTTAAGTTTCATTGTCATGAAAATCATGTGTCATTTGTTTGTATTGCTAATGTGTGTTCATGAGTGTGTTTGTAAAAAAAGTATATACTTCATGTCTAGTCCATAATTTCTGCATTCATGATGGGATTTCGAAATAAATTAATACAATCACCACCATAAGTAGACGATGTGTCACATGCAAAACCCAAGTCCCTAGCTTAAAGGTCAAAGTCACTGCGGGGGATAACACTTGCTGTATTTGTTAAATAGTCTTACATGCAGTTGCAGTTATTTACTTGTCCATAACTTGTTTGTATGATGTTTTTACAAAATAAAATGATACCATTAGATGATTACTAGACAATCGGATAAGAGCATGTAATCTACACAAGTATAGGATTGAAACACCATGCAAAACTAAAATACTAAATATCAGTCAATTCCTTTTGTACATTTTGCCTTATTAAAGACCTATGTACTTACATTCAAGGTCTATGTACTTGCAGCACTTTGATGTGTTACACTCATTGATATTGTACATAAACAAAATAAAATGTTCAAGAACAAAATATTACGCTGCTCTGTTAGTAGGGTTAAAACTTATTGTGGAAAGGAATTTACATAAGTCACATTTGACTTGTTTTCCAATCCAAAAAATATGTCAGTGTGATTGTATATGCTTACTGTATAATTATATTTATGTTGTAAAAATAGAAATAAAATAATGTTTAAACTAAACTTATAGCGATGATTTTGTACATGTGACATTTGCTCAAAAAGAATTATACAAACATATTTCTTCCATATAGGTATTTTAGAAATATGCTTGTCCAAAACTTTGTAGCAGACACTTTAGTATACTTTCTTACAGTAATGCAGATTATTGCCAATCTTAGAGCCCATGTTGTTGCGGCATCCTATGTCTAATATATGCCATGACAACAGAATGTTTGATACATTTGTAGTTATATTTATTTCAGGCACCTTTCCTTGTAGAGATTCATTGCTCAGCACTTATTGTCATGGATATACACAGTCATATATCCAAGACAGAGGTAATTGGCATGCTGGGTGGTAAATTTTGTGCAGAGCAAGGTAAACTTATCATTACCATGGCAACACCATGTAACAGCATTAGTACGGGCATGCAGTGTGAAATGGATCCAGGTAATTATATTGTGAGAATCATAAATTATAGTTTTACTTTAGACTTACTTGAACATGTATATACAAATCTTTTTATGGTGGAACTTTTGTCCGAATAGGTTAACCATTCAATTTATTATTTATTGTCATGGGGCTTTATTGGCTGAGTGGTTAAGCATGCCGGCTTTGATCTCTTCCCCTTACTGCTGTGGATTCATTTTCCACCAAGGATTTTTTCATGTAAAGAAGCTTTTAAGTTAAATTACAGGAGGTTGGTTCTCCACCTCTTAAGCTCAAAAGGTGCAATATAAACTTAAGTGTCAGTGTGACATAAAACCATACAAAAAAAAAAAAAAACATTCATTACAATGTAATAGGTAAAATTCTTTATTTCCAGTGGTGTTTCCAGTGGTTACATCCAGATTTTATATAATTGGCTGCATAATTTTAGTTTTTTAATTTTGAAATCCATTAAACTAACAATGGTATGGTGTACAATAAACAGGTTTTTAGGCATTTACTTAAAGTTCAGGTTTTTCATACTCCTAAAAGCACTTTCTTTATAAAACAAATTAAAATAATGCTAAATTCAGGATTGTCAGGTCCTCTGACATTTTCAACTTGCACCCATGCAATAAACTGTTTTTATGTAAAAAGATAATTATGCATAATCTAATTGTATTGTTGTAATTATTTCAGTTTCTCAAAACCAGGCAAGTGAGGAGATCCGAGGGTCAGGTATGGAAGTAGTGGGCTGGTACCATTCTCATCCAACCTTTGCCCCAAACCCGTCAGTCAGAGATATTGAAACACAGCTAAAATTTCAGGTATATTCTGATGCAGAAATATCATCAACACAATCCTTGAGTGTCTTATAACTTGGTAAATCTTCCTGTCCGCAAAATGTTTGGAAGAAGAATTGCCCAATGAATGAATGAATGAAACGTGTTTATTTGAACTGACTTTGATTTTTATGCTCCCCGAAGGGTGAGCATATAGTTGCCGCTTTGTCCGTCTGTCCGCTTTTCTTGTTTAGGACATAACTCTGAAACAACAAGAGATATAAACAGGAAACTTTGTAGCTAGATAGATCTCATTGGGTAGATATGCAGTGCACAGGAACAGTAACTCTGCATTGCCAAATTTTGGAGTTGTTGCCTTTGTTTATATTTACATTTTGCATAACTCTCACACTATAAACGATATGAAAAAGAAACTTTGTAGGTATTCTGGTATATATATCTCAATGGGTAGATAAGCAGTGCAAAGAACAGTAACTCTGTCTTGCCTAAGTTTGGATTAATTGCACTTCGGACTTTGTTCGGGACATAACTCTGAAACTACAAGAGGTATACTTTTCTGTGTTCAAAACCTATTCGGGGAGCATCACCCGGTTCAATTGGTTCTTTTTTGTGTATTGTTAGTCAATCCTGCGTAGCTGAACATGGAGAGCATCAGAATATTTATCCAGTTGTCGTGACTATTGAAATCAAATATTGAGTGTAATTGTCAATTGTCTTTCACTGCTGATTTAGAAATTATCAGTGATAAGTTGTTGGTCACTTATGGAGAAATTTGTAATTAATGGTTAGTTTATCCAGGAAAGCTGGTTAGGTTGTTGGACTACCAAGATATGACCAAAAAACATGTTAAAATCAGCATAAAAACCAGGAAAACAAACAGATAAAATTTAGGACTTTGCTTATAAAACCGTAAAATTCTCAAGATATCTTTATTTGTAATGTTAACTACATATAAAAATAAATAAATAAATGAATGAAATGAAGCCAAGTCTTGTAATGCATTTAAATCTACATGTGCATAGCAAGCCAAGTCAGTTTAAATCAAAAACTCTTTTACATTGTATTTCTCTTATTTTTAGCAAAATTTCTCCCATATACTAAAATTTAGATGTACAAAATCAAATGACATTATTGTAATCTCTTTTTACGAATTAAACTTAAATTTAAAACTGCATCTATGAAGATATATATCATTATCAAAGGCAGATATACTGGTATATGATTTGGAAATGTTATGTTTATTTACAGAATTGGTTCTCAAAGGGAGGTTGTAATTTTGTGGGTGTGATAGTGAGTCCATACAACATGAGGAAGACTGGAATGTGTTCAGAAGTTAACTGCCTTACCATTAGTAATGAGATACAGCCACAACTACAGTGCAGTATGAACATTTATCTTACACTTTACAATGAGATATTTCATTTATATACCAGTGAGATATAAGTCATATCACACTCGTCATTTTTTAAAGCTTAATAAGATAAATAATAAAGGCATAGCAATAAAGAACATTAAAATATCAAGATAAAATCATGAAAAAATAATTATCGTGAAGTTTTATCAATAAGCATCATTTATGACAATGTTTTGATTTTAGTGACTATTTTTGTTGTTATTTGCAGATATACCATATAAATTCAGTTATACAACAAAGTTGTGCAATATGTCAGAAGTAAACCATATTGTGTTGACAGCCCAGGATCTGGCCACTAGCTACAGTAACTACCAAAACAAGGTTGATCTTACTTCAATATACAACTCATCAAGGGGAGTAAGTTGTTTAGAAAAGGTAAATTATTATACATGTGGTACTTTTTACATTATGGTAGTATAAAAAAACCAAACAAACAAAAAAAAACAATTAAATATTACCTTGAAAAGGGTAGTGTAAAAGAGGTAACCTTTTCAATGGAGCTATAGAATACATTAATGTAGTAATGGCGAGAGATGTAAACAAAGCTTGTGAAATTATTTTTTCCACTTAAATCTTTAATGACTTCAGTGCAATTGTTTTGAGAGACCATATGAAAATACAGGGCACTTTATACCTTCCTTTGCTGGACACTTAAACCATGAATAAGCCATTAAGTGTATAACCTCAGATCTTACATTTAAAATTATAGCCTAAATACTTGCTTTGTGAAAAACAATCTCCAACAAAGCTAAACAGAATGGTTTAATCATTGGTTGGGATTAAGGGTCATGCCAACATTTTTTAAGTCATAGAGCAAAGTTCCATCTTTACTGGCAAAAGACCTTGTATGCCCTGCTGTGCATTATTTGAGTTTTCAACCAGCACCTGAGAAGACCCACAAAATTTAAAGAAGGTAGTTTGAGTGTATGCAAAAACGTGTTTTCTTGCAATTACATAATAACATTTTGTGCTGTTTTTGTTTTTCAGATGATTGAATCATTGAAGTCGTATTGTATAGAGCCAGAGACATGTCAGCTTATAGAGAGTGTTAGAAAAGCTTTTACCCCGGTCGTTCCTGCTCATCATAACATACATCAAGATGATACATGCAATTCTTTCTCTCAATCTGAAAATCCAGATAGTTCCTCAAATATTTCTTGATACATGATTGATAAGAATTTGTCACAAATTGTTTATAGATGCATGTACTATATGCATTTTAATGTTACATGTGCTTGATACATTTAAATGTTACAAGTACTTCATGCATTTTAATGTCAAAGTTTGAAGTTTTAATGAAAAAATTAATGAGAAAAATGATGTTTTAAAAACATTTTTAGCTCACCTGTCACAAAGTGACAGGGTGAGCTTTTGTGATCGCTTTTCGTCCGGCGTCCGTCCGTCCATCGTCCGTCCGTAAACTTTTACTTTAAATAACATCTCCTCATAAACCACTAAGCCAATTTCATCCAAACTTCACAGGAATGTTCCTTTGGTGGTCACCTTTAAAAATTGTTCAAAGAATTTAATTCCATGCAGAACTCTGGTTGCCATGGCAACCGAAAGAAAAAACTTTAAATATCTTCTTTTAAAAAACCATAAGAGCTAGAGCTTAGATATTTGGCATGAAACATCTTCTAGTGAGTGTCTACCAAGTTTGTTCAAATAAAAGCCCTGGGGTCAAAATTGGCCCCGCCCCAAGGGTCATTGATTTTCCCTATATGCATATAGTAAAAACTTAAAAAATCTTCTTTTAAAGAACCCAAAGAGCTAGAGCTAAGATATTTAGCATTAAACATGTTCTAATGGTTGTCTACCTAGTTTGTTCAAATAAAAGCCCTTGGGTCAAAATTGGCCCCGCCCCGGGGGGGTCATTGATTTTCCCTATATGCATATAGTAAAAACTTAAAAAATCTTCTTTTAAAGAACTCAAAGAGCTATGGCTAAGATATTGAGCATCAAACATGTTCTAATAGGTGTCTACCAAGTTTGTTCAAATAAAAGCCCTGGGGTCAAAATTGGCCCGCCCCAGGGGGTCATTGATTTTCCCTATATGCATATAGTAAAAACTTAAAAAATCTTCTTTTAAAGAACCAAAAGAGTTAGAGCTAAGATATTTAGCATGAAACATGTTCTAATCAGTGTCTACCAAGTTTGTTCAAATAAAAGCCCTTGGGTCAAAATTGGCCCCGCCCCGGGGGGTCATTGATTTTCCCTATATGCATATAGTAAAAACTTAAAAAATCTTCTTTTAAAGAATCAAAGAGCTATGGCTAAGATATTTAGCATCAAACATGTTCTAATAGGTGTCTACCAAGTTTGTTCAAATAAAAGCCCTGGGGTCAAAATTGGCACCGCCCCGGGGGGTCATTGATTTTCCTTATATGTGTATAGCAAAAACTTAAAAATCTTCTTTGAAAAAACCCAAATAGCTAGAGTTAAGATATTAAGCATGAAACATCATTTAGTGAGTGTCTACAAAGTTTGTTCAAATAAAAGACCTGGGGTCAAAATTGGCCCCGCCCCGGGGTCATTGATTTTCTTTATATGTGTATAGCAAAAACTTAAAATCTTCTTTGAAAAAACCCAAATAGCTAGAGTTTAGATATTAAGCATGAAACATCTTCTAGTACGTGTCTACAAAGTTTGTTCAAATAAAAGCCCTGGGGTCAAAACTGGCCCGGCCCCAGGGGTGTCATTGTTTTTAACTATATGTGTATAGTGAAAACTTAAAAAAAATCTTCTTTTAAAAAGCCCAATGAGCTAGAGCTTAGATGTTTAGCATGAAACATCTTCTTATGGGTGTCTACCAAGTTTGTGCAAATAAAAGCCCTTGGGTTAAATTGGCCCTGCAACGTTGGGGGTGGGGGTTGGGGGGGCCTATATACAGGTGAGCGACCTCAGGGCCATCATGGCCCTCTTGTTATTAAATTTGCTTTGGTTGTTCAATTAAGATCTGCTTGTTATGTTGTTACTTATATTAGAACTACTTTATATGAATAAAAGATAAGCCAGAATGGATATTGTGCTTTTTGGATTTTCCTTTAACTTTGTATCTGTATACGGTTAGTGTTTTTGCTATCCGTGGAAAACATGGGTACTAAATCATTTCTATTCCTATTATTACTAAAGGTTTGAATTGAATTGTATTCATTTCAAATGGAATCAGTGCTGAATAAATATAAAGGTAAACATAATTCTGCTTCTACTTATAATATTACTTGTTTGACAAGAATCCGATAAAAGGGTTAATTTGGAGAGTGTTGTAAAGATGCTTTCGTACAATGACCTCATAGAAATGAATACCATGCAAAATTTAGAATTATATATAATTGTATATATGCAAAATATTGTGAACAAAATTTTAATTTTGTCAAAGGAAAATTTTAAAAATAACATGCCAACATGAATGGCAGAAAAAAGTATTTGCAGTGAAAACATCTTAAGCATCTATGTAATTTAGAAGACAGCCAAAACCCCACACCTAAACATTTTATAGTGTACAAAACCCCATACTTTTCATTACTAATGCAATTTGACAGTCCTGTACTGATATATTAAGGAATAACATTTGCGTTAGCTACACTATATACGAGTATATGGGTATACGTGTTAGCTGGCAAGATGTATATCAGTATTCCTAGATCATCGATGAGTAGTATCACAACATCCTATTTTAGAGAGTTATAGCTAAATCTTGGAAAAAAGGAGTACCTGTATTTTCATACCTCATTATCTGCTATTAGAAGCAATTTTACTGACCAACTGTTTTGTATAATCTTCAACACAGGCATGCTGGAATGAGTGATCACAAAGGACCATGAATAATATAACAACACTGGAGTGTGAAGTAGGTGTAGGGGGCATCTTTTTACATGTGCCACACAGCACTTAACACCAGTGCTGTAGTGACATATACTCATAAAAATCTTGAAAATGGTTGATACCTCGGAAGCAGTGAATAAACAACAATATTACATTATAATTATTGACAGTAGGATTGACTGAGTCTGTTTATGAGATTTTAAATATCTTAAAATGATCTTGATATCAGTGCCATTTATATATATATATACATCATGCAGTTACGAACAAAAATGACACCCAGTGTGATTTTAATTACCTCTGTGTTGAAGGATTGTGCCCATTTCAACATATCTCATGATAGCGTATCTTAGGTTTATTATAAATCATGGCCCTCTTGTTACTTTTCGATTCTTAATTGTGTCCTGTGTTAAATAAGTCATTTAGCTTGCTTTGTCCTCTGACACTGCTCTTGTTTGGCATGTTTCATTGTGAATATTTAGTGGCTAGTATTTTTAAGGACAGTAATGGGATAAAAACTGATTCATTATTTTGATATTTCCTTTTTATGAAGCTCAAAGGTCAAGGTCATACTATGACTCCAAAGGAAATTTTAAATAAAAATGAATTATGTTAGTGTCCGATCAACAAGTCTGTCAATTTGATGGATGAATTCAAGAATTGTTATGCATAAATATGTTGGACAAAATGACAACATGCAGAACATAAAAATTGGCTCCCTACCTCAAATGTCAAGGTCACGCTTGTAGATCAAAAGTCATGATATGAATTTTTTTAAAAGTACACAGATGTTTGTGTCTGATCAACAATAATGCCATTGAGGGATGGATTTAAGAATAATCATACATGAATTTGTTGGACATAATGACAAAATGCAGAGCATAGAAATTGGCTCCCTACCTCAAATGTCAAAGTCACACTTGTAGATCAAGTCATGATATGAATTTTTATAAAATTACACTGATGTTTGTGTCTCATCAACAATTCTGTCATTGATGCATAGATTTAAAAATTATTATGTGTAAATAAGTTAAACAAATTGGCAACGTGCAGAGCGCAAGAATCTGGTCTCTACATCAAAGGTCAAGGTCACACTTGTATTCCTAAGTCATGATATGAATTTTTTCATTAAAGTGCATTGATGCTTGTGTCTGGTCAACAATTCTGCATTTTCTGGATGGATTTTAAATGTATTTGGCATTAATGTGCAAGACATAATGATGATGTGTCATAAACATGGGTCAAGTATAAAGTTCAAGGTTACACTTGTGTGTCAAACTTGAGGATTGTGATTAGATTGTCTTCTTTTGCGCATAGCTAGAATTGTCATTCATAGATGGACTTTGAAATAATTATGAATAAATTATATGCTGCTTTTATATGCTGCTTATTAAGATGATTTGAAATGAGCAGATCTATTAGCTCAGCAGCCCAAAAGTTAAGTTCATATTTGAATGCCAGAAGTCATGATATGACAGTGAATTGGTAGTCATGTCAAGTCTATGTCTTTTTGTCTGATAATTATAGTTAAAAGTGACAGATTTTGTATTAAGTTGGTTTAAAGATATTGTTCTTTAAACAATTTGTGACGAGTCAGTAGCTAAAAGATCAAGGTCATACTAGGACTTTTAAGCTTTATAGTTCCATAAAAGTACATAAATGGTTATATTTTGAAATACCTAAGCATTATCTTCTGTGACAGTCATTATGAAAACTTGTTACTGTTTCAAAGGACAGGTTGAAAATTTAAAACATGATGGTTATACAATGTCAAAATACTACTGTTGTGTCTTATTACAAAGGTTCTAGTTGCATTTATTTGACCTAAAATATGTTTAATCTTGTTATTCATTTCTTATAATGTCAATATATTAAAAAGAAATTAAAATATTATTTTTTGTTATATTGTTACAGTCTATAACAATATAACAAAAATCTAAAAAAAATTGTTTCTTCAATATTTTGGTATTATATGACATGAATAACAAGATTAAACATATTTTAAGTCAAATCAATGCGACTATAGCACCTTTGTCTTAATATAATCATATTTTTGTCATTCATTCACAGATATTTTTTATTATTTAGAAGGATGAATATTGAAAAACTTTTTTATAGTAACCATAACTTGTGCAAGTCAAGGCCATAGTTCCTCATTTTGGCCCTGTAATATTCAATGCTGACAGTACTTATAGCACTCCCCTAAAATTCATGTCCCACATGATTGATTTGAGAATATATGGAGATCGACTATAATAAGGTTTCTGATGAATTTCTTTTGATTGTTTTATGCTATGGTAGAGAATATAACCTTTCTTAAATTAATGTATCTGTAAATTATCTGATAATCTAATAACTGAAGTGAAAAGTATTTAGTGGTATTCAACCTAAAATGGTTTCCCGGTATCGAGCACAGACTTTAGTTTCTCCGTGAAATCCGGCTTTCGACGGGAATTTACCCGGGAATTATCGTATGCCCGTCCTTTACAGAAGAAGTTGATTTTAACTGGACAAAATGTCATCTGACGCACCCAAGGAACGTGAGAAATCACGAAGCGTGTTTGATTTATTATTTGCAACAAAGGATACAGATGACGCCTCTGACAGAATTGCGTTGGCCACCTTTACTGGTGCCCAAATTGGTGAGTGAAGGTCACTGGCAAATAACTTTAGCACAAAGTGGCCCTTGCTACTTAGTAACTTACTATAATATATATATATATGTTGCATTTTGTTGGATACATTTGTCTTTATTAAGTCAAACAGTGAAGCTTTTCAGAACTGTCTTTAGGGCTGTCATTGAATATCGCGATATCGATATATCATCGATATTCATCATGTCCATCATCCGATACAATATCAATACACACTTCCACATATCGATACAAGCTGAAATTTCTTTTATTTCTGTTAGTTATTATAACTCTCTATTTTGGCTTATAGGAGAAGTCACTTTTTTCTAGTTTTCTTGTCTAACTTGAACTTTAAACTCCGTTTTCAAATGTCAGTGACAAGAATAACAGAAAAAACAAACTTTCTATTAGTTTTAGTATTTGTAATGTGTAATACAAGCATGCATACCACCATGATCCCAATTTATAACACATATATAAATGTTATTCATTGTTTCTACTGTCAAAGTTGATATATCAATGTATCATCTCGATATATCGATTCAAAATTTTCCATCAATGACAGCCCTAACTGTCTTGAATTTTACCTTGACCACTTAAGCTGTTGGGATTATTCACTTGGAAGTGGCTCTAGCTGTACGGGCCCGTACTGATAGCCAAAAGTTCTAGCTGTATGTGAGTCACGTACAGCTAGCCTATACGCACTGTTGAGGCTATAGCCGTACAGCATTTTATCAATAATAAATTAAAGCAATGATGAAGTCAGTATCTTGCACATCTTGTTACATTTTCACAAAGAATGAACATATATTTCTTCTAGATAATTTTAAGGATGATGTTTGGCTATATATATCCTGATTTTATGACAGGATTTCAGATATCTTTCAGAAATAAATTCATCTTTATTTAAAAGAGTTTTTTTGAGACAATGGAAATTATGCGTTATTTACAAGTTATTATTATTATGTAAAAATACTTTGTCATAATCAAAATTGACCTACAGACATTAATGTAGCGCTCTAATTCAATCATGAAAAACAAAAACGTTGCATCTTTTAATGGTTAGTAAACAATCAGCTTGAAATTTTCAATGCCTGCTAAAAAATGTTCGAGATATTTTTATTACTATTACAAATGTATTACTATTACATCTATATTGTCCATTGAAATGATTTAATAATGTTTCAGTTTATTTGTCTTCGTATTTTCACACAGACTTTAATTATTAATTTTAAAGTCCTCGATTTCCAGAAGAACTAAACTTCCAATCATCAAATGCTAGAAATTAATTTACCTACTGTAATTGATAAAGTTTTCATGATATTCAATTAAATCTATTTTTAGAAACACAAGTTTGCATATTCATTATTGTTTTAGGTTACATGTATTTATCTTAAAAATACTGTACGACTAGCCTCAACAGTGCCTATTGGCTAGTCTTATGTTACTCACATACAGCTAGAACTTTTAGCCAGCAATACATGCCCGTATGGCTAGCCACTGCCTATTCAATTATTGTCGTCCTTCACCTTGTAGTAGTATCACTTGTATGTATTGTATCATTTAAGGCAGTGGCTAGCCCATATTAGGTGGCTCCATATGAGTAATAAAGACATCACCAAGACAATTGGGATTAATTTCTAGTGACTTTGACAATTTGCATAGAGCTATTATTTAAATCATATTTGGTAAATTGGTTTGCATATATTTGGATAATTAAATTATATGTTGCATACATGATAATGCAAATTATGGCAACAAAATAGATTTACGAAATATGTCAGACAAGTGTTATGAATTGAGATCATCTTTTTGTTGACCTTATAATATTTTAAATTATTATCCATTTTCCTCGTAAGTTTAAAGTAAGATGCTAGTAGAGAAGTGTGTGGTTAAGATGGTACAGACTAGAGCTGACTGTTAACTTGGCTAAATATCAAAAGCAAAATCAAGGAGAACTGTTTATTTTTGGACTCAAAAATGCTTTGATGTCGCTGAAAGTCACGTGAAATATAATATGAAAACAAAAAAGATTATTCTGACAAAATACTGGTATACCATGATTATACCGCATTGGGAATTTTTACCATGGTAGCCAGTTTACCAGTAATACCCTGCACCTATATACTTTATTAGCTCGACTTTTCTATGAAAAGGGGAGCTATCCTACTCGCCCCGGCGTCGGCGTCGGCGTCACACCTTGGTTAAGTTTTTCGTACCACCCCACTTTATTTCAGAAGTATTACAAGTATGGCTTTGAAACTTACCATACTTGTTCACCATCATAACCTCCATCTACAGACAAGAGTACATAACTCTGTCAAGGTTTTTGACAGAATTATGGCCCTTTTTTGACTTAGAAAGTGTATTGAGCTTGGTTAAGTTTTTTGTACCACCTCACTTTATTTCAAAACCATTGGAGGTATTGCTTTGAAACTGACCATACTTGTTTACCATCACGACCTTCATCAACAGACAAGAGGACATAACTCTGTCAAGGTTTTTGACAGAATTATGCCCCTTTTTGACTTAGAAAATACATTGAATATGGGTAAAATCCACTTATTGCCTTAACCCTTTGAGATATGGCTTTGAAACTTACCATACTTGTTCACCATCATAACCTCCATCTACAGACAAGAGTACATAACTCTGTCAAGGTTTTTGACAGAATTATGGCCCTTTTTTGACTTAGAAAGTGTATTGAGCTTGGTTAAGTTTTTTGTACCACCTCACTTTATTTCAAAACCATTGGAGGTATTGCTTTGAAACTGACCATACTTGTTTACCATCACGACCTTCATCAACAGACAAGAGGACATAACTCTGTCAAGGTTTTTGACAGAATTATGCCCCTTTTTGACTTAGAAAATACATTGAATATGGGTAAAATCCACTTATTGCCTTAACCCTTTGAGATATTGCTTTGAAACTTTTAATGCTATTTCACATCATTACCCCCATCTGTACGCAAGAGAAGGTAACTCTGTCAAGGATTTGTTTTAAAAATTAAGGCCTTTTATCGACTTAGAATTAAATTTATTTAAGGCTCAACTCAGTTTTTTTTTCTTTCTTACCAGCCCTCTTTTGACTTAAACATTTCAAACTTTGCTGCAGTGTTCAAGGGTATCACACAATTCAGTAAAATAATTCTTCACTAAATATCTTAATGCTCATGGCCATTGTTCACTTTAAAAATACAGAGATTCTTGTATTGCCTTTTACTGCAAAAACTTTTTTTATTGGCAAGCAATAAAAAAGTCGAGCGCGCTGTCTTACGGACAGCTCTTGTATTGAAGATGATGGTTAAACAACCGAAGAAATGCAAAAAAATTGGTTGAGGGCCATTCATCTTTAGAGCAAATAAGCAGAATTATCAAATTAAAATAGTTACCAGACATGAATCGCATCAAAATTTATCAAATCTGGGTGCCTGAAATTGAATCAAATCAAACATTTGGTGAATCGTTTCAGGCTTAGCTATGTCCATATAAAATGGTGTTCCTTGCAAATCCAATAAAATTAAACTTTCTTGAATCACATGCTCTGATATGTGCTGTAATTTAAAACATTTCTAATAAAAGATTGAAAGGCCCCCATTTAGTATCCAGTCAGACTCTAATACATCACTCGGATGTCGTGGTCTCTAAAAATGACAGAAAAATTGAAAAGGATATGACAAACTTGTTTCTTTTCAGATACATAATTTTAAGACATATAAGTTGTTTATTTAATATAAGACATGAATTTAAAGAGAAAAATATTTCAATTATTATTAGCTTCACTCAGCTTGTCTGTTTTGAAGAAAAGAACAAGCTGTTGGGATCGCTGCTGCATTGTTGTTGTCGTCATGCAAAATTTTTAATGTAGTCTATTACTAAAACCATTTTTTGAAATATCAGTATATATGAAACTTGAAATACATTTGTACTTGCTTTTCATTACAAGAGGCATTTGTGAGACAAGTGGCATATATTGCTTATCATCACAAGAGGCATTTGTAAGGCAAGTGGCATTACTCTGAAAGCTATAGTTTTGAAGTTATTCCATATTTTAACTTAGATTTTGTTTTGGTCGAAATTGCCTGTTTTGTAGAATGATATTTTTAAGTGAAAGCCTTCCAAAGGTATCAATATGAAACTTCGAATATTTGTTTATGGTGACAAAGCACAGTTGTTAGACAAAGGGTCTTATTCTGAAGACTAAATTTTTGGAATTATGACCCTTTTTTTAACACAGAATTTTTGTCAAAATTGTGTATAAGTACATGTAGAAGGATTTAAAAAAGTATGGAAGATATCAACATGAAACTTTGAAAACTTTGAAAACAAAAGCAATATTTTTAGGAGTTATGTCCCTGTTTAACTTAGAATATTTATGAAAATTGATTATTGATAGTTATTGCCCTTAACAGACGAGCATTAACATCAAATGCTGTGCTCTTGTTTATTTTGCTTGTTGATTTAATGTGGTTTAAATTGGTAAATAATATGAATAACAAATAAATTAAATTAAATACTTTTAATTTCAGTGAAATTCTAAATGAACAAGCCTTTCAATATGCTAGGAATATTTGGATGTAAATAAGGATTAAATATTATTCATATAATTGCAGGAACTTGTGCTTCATTTGCTACAGTCCTTTTACATCCAGACATCAAATTTTCTCAATTGGTTGCAAGTAGAAAAATATGGGGTGTTACACAAATGGCAAAGGGCTATGCTATTGGAGGTAAGTTGAACATATTTTATTAATCACCACCAATATATTGAAATGATATGTCGGATCATCAGTCTGTTCATTCATTCAGGTCTATGCCTTAAATTTGGTTAATCTAATGTTTTTAATATCTCCAAGACTCTTTTAGAATGTTTATATGAATAGGGAGATGAGGATCACTGAGTTTCATAAATTATCCATCTAGCTTTTTAGCTAAGGTAAGCTTTTAGCATAGGTCAGTTGATTCCTGTGTCAGTTGTCCACTCACTGTCAAAAGTTGACTCTAGTGGTCATATTTTGTTTATTTTCATCCAGCGTTTTTTTTCTCTCTTCTTTGGGAATGGTGCCGGTACCATACTGATTGGGGAAAAATGCCTTATTTTTTTTTACTTAAATTTGGATTTTTTTTTAAATGCATTTTTTCAGCTACAAATAAGATAAGTCATCATGAATAAAGATAGGTAACAGCTGCCACTGTCCAGGTAGAACTATTGAGTGATGATTTATATGAATATGTTGGATTTAAATGATGTCAGAGAAATCACTTGGCCTTGTGGAAATTTTTAACAGCCATTTTGGGAATTTAAACATTGGAAATTGGGAATTTTAATGTCTATTTACTATTGGGAACAGTACCGTTTTAGGGTAGTAGTTATATAAAGAAAAAAACACTGTGATCAAACTTTGTAAATGGTTTGTGACTGTCTGATGAGTTAGTATTTAGGTCATCTTGGGTTAAAAAAAAATAAGGTAAACAAATTTGCTCACCAAATTAAAACAAAGAAATCACAATTTGGATTGATCAGCATCAAACTTTGTCAAAATAATTATCCCAGTGATAATAAGAATGAGTTTGAAGATGGGTCATATTAGATGAACAAACTAGGTCACCACATCAAATCAAAGAAAAACCTTAACATTTTATAGATATGAAGAAAAACTTTGTTCATAATAGTCTAAAGGTCACATTTAGTATTTGATCTTTCTCAGATTTTGTTAGAATGTTCATACTTATGATGTACATGTTTCTGGAATGAGTTTGAAAATGGATCATATTGGGCTAAGGACTAGGTCAGCAGATTTTATTTTAAAAAAAAACCTTGTTAACACCGTAGAGATCACAGTTTTTGAATTGATCTTCAACAAACTTTGTCAGAATGTTCATCTTGATAATGTCTCTGACACATGGGGTTGATAGTGGATTATTTGTGTCGAAAATAAGGTCACCACATAAAATTTTATACAGGTTATTTGTTGTTCTTCTTGCATGTAAAATCGAAATATATTTCGCTGAGTGAACACCCAGGACACAATATTTTTTACAATTGGCACAGCCATGTTTGAAAATATAATAGCTGGTGTTCACTAGTGAAATATATTTCAATCTTACATGCTAAACAGACAAATTTTCTATTTATTTCCAGCTTTTTAGCTCACCTGACACAAAGTTACATGGTGAGCTATTGTGATTGCTTTTCGTCTGGCGTCCGTCCTTAAACTTTTACTTTAAACAACATCTCCTCATATACCGCTTAGCCAATTTCATCCAAACTTCACAGGAATGTTCTTTTGGAAATAAAGTTTTAAAATTGTTCAAGGCATTTAATTCCATGCAGAACTCTGGTTGCCATGGCAACTGAAAGAAAAATACTTAATAAATCTTCTTATAGAAAACCGAAAGAGCTAGAGCTTAAATATTTGACATGAAACATCGTCTAGTCAGTGTCTACCAAGTTTGTTCAAATATATGCCCTAGGAGTCAAAATTGGCCCCGCCCCAGGGTGTCATTGACTTTCCTTATTTGTATATAGTAAAATCTTAAAAAATCCAAATAGCTAGAGCTAAGATATATAGCATGAAACATCTTCTAATGGGTGTCTACTAAGTTTATTCAAATAAGGGCCCTTGGGTTAAAATTGGCCCCGCCCCGGGATTCATTGATATTCCTTAAATGTTTATACTAAAAACTTAAAAAATCTTCTTTTAAAAAACCCAAAGAGCTAAAGTTTAGATCCTAAGCAAGAAATATCTTCTAGTGAAAGTCTACCAAGTTTGTTCAAATAAAAGCCCAGGCGTCAAAATTGGTCCCCCCCCCCCCAGGAAGGGGGGTCATTGTTTTTCCCCTCATGTATATAGTAAAAACTTAAAAAAAAATCTTATAAAACCCCCAAAGAGATAGAGCTTAGATATTTATCATGAAACATCTTCTAATGGGTGTCTATCAAGTTTGTGCAAATAAAAGTCTTTGGGTTAAAAATGGCCCCGCCCCGGGGGCCTTTATAGAGGTGAGCGATTTCAGGGCCATCATGGCCCTCTTGTTTAGTGATTTTAAGTCATTTTTACTGATTTTGCCGCATAACATATCTCAAGTTCTTCTACATGGTGTCATCATATCATGACATCACAGTACCAATTTGAGTTCTGTAAAATTTCTGGAATTTTGTTACATTTTTAACGCAATGTATGCAGTTATTAGCTCGACTTTTCTATGAAAAGGGGAGCTATCCTACTCGCCCCGGCGTCGGCGTTAGCGTTGGCGTCACACCTTGGTTAAGTTTTTCGTACCACCCCACTTTATTTCAGAAGTATTACAAGTATGGCTTTGAAACTTACCATACTTGTTCACCATCATAACCTCCATCTACAGACAAGAGTACATAACTCTGTCAAGTTTTTGACAGAATTATGGCCCTTTTTTGACTTAGAAAGTGTATTGAGCTTGGTTAAGTTTTTTGTACCACCTCACTTTATTTCAAAACCATTGGAGGTATTGCTTTGAAACTGACCATACTTGTTTACCATCACGACCTTCATCAACAGACAAGAGGACATAACTCTGTCAAGGTTTTTTGACAGAATTATGCCCCTTTTTGACTTAGAAAATACATTGAATATGGGTAAAATCCACTTATTGCCTTAACCCTTTGAGATATTGCTTTGAAACTTTTAATGCTATTTCACATCATTACCCCCATCTGTACGCAAGAGAAGGTAACTCTGTCAGGGATTTGTTTTTAAAAATTAAGGCCTTTTATCGACTTAGAATCTTGGTTAAGTTTTTTGTACCAGTCAACTTTTTGACTGAACTGGTTGAGATATTAAATTGAAAGTTGGAAATACTTGTTTACCATCATGGTCCCAAACATGGGCAGGAGAAGGTAATTCTGTTAAGGATTTTATTTGAATTATGGCCCTTTTTGACTTAGAAACTCAGTTAAAATTTTCATTCTTGTCCACTTGTTGACCTAACCATTTGAGATATTACTTTGGAAGTTGGAGTTCTTATGTGCCATCATGAGACCTATCTGTAAGCAAGAGAAGATAACTCTGTGAAAATGTTTCTTGATTTGTACTTAGAAATTCCTAGTTAAAGTCTTGTGTGCCCTTAACTGTCAAAGTTTTGTTTTATAGGCAAGCACTAAAAAAGTCGAGCGCGCTGTCCTTCTGACAGCTCTTGTTTACTTGCTTCTCCTAAAGAAGCAAAATTTACGTACAACAGAATTATTTCCTGTTGAATTGATTCCATTTAGCTGAGACATACTATTTTTATCCATATTCAAATATAGTCTGGCTACAGTGAAAATTATCAAATATGATTTCACTTTGATAATTATCAAATATAATTTCACTTTGAAAATTATCAAATATAATTTCACTTTGAAAATTATCAAATATAATTTCACTTTGAAAATTATCAAATATAATTTCACTTTCCACTGCAAAGCATGAAATAATGTACATGTAACTAATTGGTTAATATTAGGGGATCATACATGTTTTTCACGAATATGTCTTGATTATATGTTTACTTCCTTGTAGGATTATCAGGATTTCTGTATATGTGGACAGTAAAAAAGTTTAGTGAACTTCGAGGAGGCAAAGATGATGGGTTAAATCATTTTCTTGGTGGTTTTGGTGTTGTTGCACCATATGCGGCAGTTTATAGTAAGTATGGTTATTATATGTTTAGATTATTAGCTTGTGGCATTTTCTAGTAGATCTCAATATCATGCTTTACCTACCTTTGTTTAGAAAATTTATGACACTTGCATTCCTGTGAGTGATCTGTACTAGTAGAGCATTAATTGCCCTCAGGCTCTGGAGCTTTACATATGAGCCTTGTCACGACAAAACCAACATAATGGGTTTGCGACCAGCATGGATCCAGACCAGCCTGCGCATCCGCGCAGTCTGATCAGGATCCATGCTGTTCGCTATCAGTTTCTCAACTTGTAAAAGGGTTGGTAAGCAAACAGCATGGATCCTGGTTGGTCTGGATCCATGCTGGTCGCAAACCCATTATGTTGGTTTTGTTGTGACGCGGCTCAATTATAAGCAACATCTTAATGTTCAATCATATTCACAAAATAGAAAAGAATTGGTAAAGAACATCCAAACCACAAAATTTGTAATTGTTTCTGGCTCTGTTTGATTGAGCCTTTTCGTGGACTGTACTGAAAAGTGCAAGCTATCGTCCATGCCCCCTAGCACAGATTGAAGCAGATTTTAACATTTTTAGCTCACCTGAGCTAGCTGAGGTTTTAGGGTCGTCTGTCCACATTTGTTTGTTAACACTCTAGTGGACACATTTTTGCCTTAATCATCATCAAACTTTGTCAGGATGCTTGTCTATGAAATTGCTTACATAAGTTTAAACATAGGTCATTCGGATGAAAAACTAGGTCACAGGAGCTAAAAATAGTAAAATCTTCTTAACACTCTAGTGGCTGCAGTTTTGATACAAATATCCTGGAAATTGGTCTGAAAATTTGTTGTGATGATTTCTAACTCAAGTTCGAATATGGGTCACCTGGGGTCAAAAACTAGGTCACACTGCCCAAATATTGAAAAACCTTGTTAACACTCTAGTGGTCACATTTTTAGCTTGACTATTCACAGAATAATCGAGCTAATGCAGTCACCCATTTGTTGGCATCGGCGTCCCTGTGGTTAAGTTTTTGCGTGCAAACTGGTATCTCCATAACTACTGAAGGGAATGGATTGAAACTTCACACACTTGTTCTCTGTGATTATCTAACATGATTGGCACAAGTCCCATAACTCTGATGTGCTTTTTTACATAATTATGGCCCTTTTTCGACTTAGAAATTCTTGGTTAAGCAAATATCTCCATAACTACTAAAGGGTTTATGCCTTTTTTGGAACAATTTTATGCATTTTATAATAATAATAATAAAGCAGTGATTAACTCGATAAAACATCTTAATAACAAGCCTTTGTACCATCTGGACAATTTTATGTATTCATATAGGTTAGCATTATTATACTCAATGAAACACACTTGTGACAACTTTTCGAATAGTCGAGTGTTACTGTCCTCCGACAGTTCTTGTTTAATTGTCATCAAACTTAGTCAGGATGCTTGTCTAGTTAACTGCTTAGATAAGTTTAAACATGGGTCATTCGGATGAAAAACTAGGTCACAGAGCTAAAAATAGAAAATCTTTTTACTCTCTACTGGCTACTGTTTTGATCCAAATATCCTGGAAATTGGTCTGAAAGTTTGTTTTGATGATTTCTAGCTCAAGTTTGATTATGGGTCACCTGGGGTCAAAAACTAGGTCACACTGCCTAAATATGGAAAAACCTTGTTAACACTCTAGTGGTCACATTTTTAGCTCGAATATACAAAGTATATGGAGAGCTGTCTTCCTCCCCCCGGCGTCTGTGTCCTCGTCCAGATTTCAGATTAAAGTTTTGGTGCAGTAAAATATTTTTCACTATAACTTTTTCATTTCTTAAGGTATCAACTTTAAACTTCAAATATATGTTCCTTATCATCAGTCACATCTTATGTGATAAAGTTCATAACTCTAACACCAATATTTTCAAATTTATTTCCCCTTGAACTAAAAAATTTCCTTAAAAAATATAATTTTTTACTATAACTTTTTCATTTAACTTCAGACTTCAAATATATGTTTTTTAACAACAACCACATCATATTCGACAAGGCTCATAACTCTAGCACCAATATTTTCAGATTTATCTCCCCTTGAACTTAGAATTGTCCTTAAAAATTATTATTTTTTACTGTTTCTTCTTTATTTCTTAAGCGATCAAATTCATACGTCAAATATATGTTCCTTATCATGAACCACATCTTATGTGACAAGGCTCATAACTCTAGCACCAATATTGCAAGAATTATATCCCCATTAACTTAGATGTTTTTTACTTGAAAAAAGTTATTTTTTACTATAACTTCTTTAGTTTTAAAGGTATCTACCTCAAACTTCAAATACATATTCCTTATGATCAATCAGATCTTATGTGACAAGGTTCATAACTCTTGAAGCAGTATTTTTATCTCCCTTTGAACTTTAATTTTTTTGTAAGAAATATAACTTCTTTATTTTTATATGCCCGAAAGGGCATATTATGTTATACCCCCTGGCGTCCGTCTGTCTGTCCGTCCGTCCGTCCGTCCGTACGTCCGTCCGTCCGTACGTCCGTCCGTCCGTTAGCAATTTGGTTTCCGGAGCATAACTTAAGTTCCATTTGGCCCACAATGTTAAAACTTCATAGGATGATTGTCCATATTGGGTAGAAGACCCCTATTGATTTTGGGGTCAAAAGGTCAAAGGTCAAGGTCACTATTACCTTAAAACTGAAAACGGTTTCCGGAGCATAACTTAAGTTCCATTCGACCCACAATGTTCAAACTTCATAGGATGATTGTCCATATTGGGAAGAAGACCCCTATTGATTTTGGGGTCACAAGGTCAAAGGTCAAGGTCACTATGACCTTGATACTGAAAACAGTTTCCGGAGCATAACTTAAGTTCCAATTGGCCCACAATGTTCAAACTTCATAGGATGATTGTCCATATTGGGTAGAAGACCCCTATTGATTTTGGGGTCAAAAGGTCAAAGGTCAAGGTCACTATTACCTTATAACTGAAAACAGTTTCCAGAGCATAACTTAAGTTCCATTCGACCCACAATGTTCAAACTTCATAGGATGATTGTCCATATTGGGAAGAAGACCCCTATTGATTTTGGGGTCACAAGGTCAAAGGTCAAGGTCACTATGACCTTGATACTGAAAACAATTTCCGGAGCATAACTTAAGTTCCAATTGGCCCACAATGTTCAAACTACATAGGATGATTGTCCATATTAGGTAGAAGACCCCTATTGATTTTGGGGTCAAAAGGTCAAAGGTCAAGGTCACTATTACCTTATAACTGAAAACAGTTTCCAGAGCATAACTTAAGTTCCATTCGACCCACAATGTTCAAACTTCATAGGAAGATTGTCCATATTGGGTATAAGACCCCTATTGATTTTGGGGTCACAAGGTCAAAGGTGAAGGTCACTATCACATTGATACTGAAAAATATGTTTCCACGCATAACTTAAGTTCCATTTGACCCACAATGTTCAAACTTCATAGGATGATTGTCCATATTGGGTAGAAGACCCCTGTTGATTTTGGGGTCAAAAGGTCAAAGGTGAAGGTCACTATTACCTTGATACTGAAAACAGTTGCTGGAGCATATGTTAAGTTCCATTTGGCCCACAATGTTCAAACTTCATAGGATGATTGTCCATATTGGGTAGAAGACCCCTATTGATTTTGGGGTCAAAAGGTCAACGGTTAAGGTCATCCTTACTAAAAAAATACTTTCGGGCATATAATGCTCCGCCTAGCGGTGCTCTTGTTTAAGATATTTTCTTCAAACTTCAAATATATATTTCTTATCATTACACACATGTTGTGTGACAAGGTCCATAACTCTAGTGTGACTATTTTTAGAATTATTCCCCTTTGAACTTGGAATTTATGTTAACAACTATACTTCTTGTCATAAAAAGAAATGTATTTATAACATAATTGATTTTTATATGCCCCAAAGAATTCCTGCAAATTATGTTATATCCCCTGGCGTCCGTCTGTCCGTTAGCAATTTGGTTTCCAGAGCATAACTTAAGTTCCATTTGGCCCACAATATTCAAACTTCATAGGATGATTGTCCATTTTGGGTAGAAGACCCCTATTGATTTTGGGGTCACATGGTCAAAGATCAAGGTCACTATTATCTTAAAACTCAAAAACAGTTTGCAGAGCATAACTTAAGTTCCATTTGGCCCACAGTGTTCAAACTTCATAGGATGATTGTCCATATTGGGTAGAAGACCCCTATTGATTTTGGGGTCACAAGGTCAAAGGTCAATATTACCTTAAAACTGAAAACAGTTTCCACAGCATAACTTAAGTTCCATTTGGCCCACAATGTTCAAACTTCAAAGGATGATTGTCCATATTGGGTAGAAGACCCCTATTGAGTTTAGGGTCACAAGGTCAAAGCTCAAGGTCACTGTTACTTTAAAACTGAAAACAGTTTCCGGAGCATAACTTAAGTTCCATTTGGCCCACAGTGTTCAAACTTCAAAGAATGATTGTCCATATTGATTAGAAGACCCCTATTGATTTTGGGGTCACAAGGTCAAAGTCACTATTACCTTAAAACTGAAAACAATTTCGGGAGCATAACTTAAGTTCCATTTGGCCAACAACGTTCAAACTTCATAGGATGATTGTCCATATTGGGTAGAAGACCCCTATTGATTTTGGGGTCGCAAGGTCAAAGGTCAAGGTCACTATTACTTTAAAACTGAAAACAGTTTCCAGAACATAACTTAAGTTCCATTTGGCCCACAGTGTTCAAACTACATAGGATGATTGTCCATATAAGGTTGAACACCCCTATAGATTTCTGGTCAAAGGTCATGGTCACTATTGTCTTAAAACTGAAAACAGTTTCGGGAGCACAACTTAAGTTCCATTTGGCCCACAATATTCAAACTTCATAGGAAGATTGCTATTTGAAGGAGGTAACACTTTATTTAATTCCCATGTTTTACAAATGCGTCATCCTAACCTTACTAAAAAAAAAAAAAACACTTTCGGGCATATAATGCTCCTCCTAGCGGTGCTCTTGTTCTTTCATAGTTTTGTCTCCCTTACTACGTCCATTATTTTATTAGTCGAGCTTTGCTGTCTCCTGTGACAGCTCTTGACTCAATTGTCATAAAACTTTGTCAAGATGCTTGTCTAAGACTAAGTAATTGCTGGGATGCGTTAGATGGGTCAGGTGAGCGATTTAGGGCCATCTTGGCATGAAGTGGTCAAATATTTTGAATTCAAAAATATCGGCATGTGTTATGTCTTTAAATGCTTATGTATTGTTTTCTTTACTTTTTAAACTTTTTGAACCAATTAAGTGTTTGTAAGAACACACAAGATTCTATTTAGTATAAATTCTGAATGTATTAGTCAAGATATATTAACGCCGTTTAACAACTCTCTCTCTTTACCTTCCCTTAACATTCTTCCTATTCTCATAGGGAGCATCATTGAACTAAAGATCTTTATATTGTAGAACGAAATTTGACATTCTTCATGCTTGGTGGATTTTTTGCTGGAATTATTGCAATGTCGACTAAAACTTTTGCACAGATGGAATATACAAGAAATTCATATATGGATCCAGATAGGCAGGTTGACCAGTACACACGGTATCCAGAAATTTTTGTTGCTTATCATGTGCGAAAGGAGCGACATGAAGCTAAGCAAAGACTTAAAGAGCTCAACGAGACTTCATAAAATCTTCAACCAAATTTTACTGTTAATATGATAGAGACATTAAGTTTTGAACAGTTGGAAGAAAAATTGATTTCACAGAGGTGTACTGTTGACATTTTGGTATCTTAGTTACAAGTATGTCTTATACTAAAACAAAAACTGATTGCTACATGAATGTTTTACTTTCTCAGTAAAGGATTTGCTTGTTTTAAATTGTTTGTTTTTATTTAAAAGTAAAGGAAAAAATTCAAAAATCTTCTTCTCAAAAAGCCATGTTCTTATTTAAAAGTAAAGGAAAAAATTCTAGCCAAAGAGCTAGAGCTTAGATATTTAGCATAAAACATCTTCTAGAGGGTGTCACCAAGTGTGTTCAAATAAAAGCCTTGTGGTCAAAATTGGCCTGCCCCAGGGGCTCATTGGTTTTTGTGTTGGCTCCACAAATTAGTGGCGACATATAGGGATCACTTCTCCGCCATTCTTTAGTCTGTCTGTCTGCTCATCACAGACTACTCCTCAACAACTACTTGTGCAATTTCATCCAAACCTTACAGGAATGATCATTACTAAGTCTAGTTGTACAAATTGTCAGCATTTTGCGGTTCAATGATTTTTTTTCAGAGTTATAGCCCTTTAATGATCTTTATTTTTATGCTCCCCAAATAGAGAGCATATAGTCGCCTTTTTGTATGCCTGTACATCTGTTTTGTGATCATAACTTGAAAAATTTGTTTAAACTGCACACAGTGTTATAGAGCATTGATGTGGAGTACCATTTTTGTCCCTTTTTATACGCCCGTTTGAAAAACGGGACGTATTATGGGAACGCCCCTGGCGGTCGGGCGTGTGGGCGGCGTCCAATTTTGTCCGGAGCATATCTCCTACATTTATGGAGGGATTTTAATGAAACTTCATAGAAATGTTCACCACTATGAGGAGCAGTGTCGCGCACATGAACCAGGTCTCTAGGTCAAAGGTCAAGGTCACACTTAGAGCTCATTGAAAAATGCTTGTCCGGAGCAAAACTTCCACATGTATAGAGGGATTTCAATATTACTTGGCACAAATGTTCACCATTGTGAGGCGGAGTGTCGCGTGCAAGATTCAGGTCCTTGCGGCCAAGGTCAAGGTCACACATAGAGGTCAAAGTTCAGATAAAAATATGAAGATGTGTATATGGACCATTTAGTCATCATTTATTGAGGGATTGTAACACAAATGGTCATTATCAAGACTATGGCTGTGATACATATAATTTAGGTCAATATATACAAGGTCAAGGTCACTAAAGATGATGAAATATCCAGATTTTGTAAATAGAATTTAATCAAAGGGCGACAACAAAGTTATTACTTTGTTCATAAATGACTTACACAATTACTCCCCTTGATTTACTTTCACTTTCAATTCTAAAAATAGAATTTAATCAAAGGGCATAAAATAATCCTCTTTCTTGGACTTGAGTATGTTCTAAAGAATGTAACATTTATTTACACATGTTTCATTCATTGGTCAAGATTCTTAACTGTGATAACTATAGTGTTCTGTAGACTTGGTATTTGTTCATAAAGATCATACAGTAATTACCTTATCAAATGTAAATACTTTCTCATAGAAATTTAATTATATTTTAATTTTCAAGTAAATATCAGTTCAGCTCTCCTACATGTATGGAGGGATTTTCATGAAACTTCATAGAAATGTTCACCACTATGAGGAGCAGTGTCGCGCACATGAACCAGGTCTCTAGGTCAAAGGTCAAGGTCACACTTGGAGCTCATTGAAAAACGCTTGTCCGGAGAAAAATTCCACATGTATAGAGGGATTTCAATATTACTTGGCACAAATGTTCACCATTGTGAGGCGGAAAGTCGCGCTTAAGATTCAGGTCCTTGCGGCCAAGGTCAAGGTCACACATAGAGGTCAAAGTTTAGATAAGAATATGAAGATGTGTATAGGGACGATTTAATCATCATTTATTGAGGGATTGTAACACAAATGGTCATTATCATGACTACGGCTGTGACGCATGTACTTTAGGTCAATATATGCAAGGTCAAGGTCACTAAAGATGGTGAAATATCCAGATTTTGTCTGGAGCATATCTCCTACATGTATGGAAGAATTTTTATAATACTTTATGGAAATGTTCACCACCATGATATGTATTGCTCCATGCATGATCCAGGTCTCCAGGTCAAAGGTCAAGGTCACACTTAGAGCTCATTGAAAAACGCTTGTCTGGAGCAAAACTTCTACATGCATAGAGGGATTTCAATATAATTTGGCACAGATGTTCATCATTGTGAGGCTGAGTGCCGTGCATAAAATTCAGGTCCCTGCGACCAAGGTCAAGGTCACACATCCTGTGCATATCTTCCCTACTGATTTGTTTTAAGGTTCATTTAACAACACAGTGCCAAGGATAAAAACTTGCTTGCTAGATAACACTTATCCATAATGCCCCCATCTCCAACTAACGCTTTCGTAAACGGGCGTATTTTGTGACTATGGCACCCTTGTTAAGTTTTAGAAAAATCTTGTCCAGAGCATATTAAGCTGAAAACCCTTGGACATAATTTGTTTAAACTGCACACAGTGGAAAGGGGCATAGCAACCATTGACTTCCATCATAACCACTGACTTTTCATAGCAACCACTGACTTTCCATAGCAACCACTGACTTTCCATAGCAACCACTGACTTCACATGGCAGCCACAAACCTCTTTAGCAACCACTGACTTTCCATAGTAACCAGTGCCTTTCCATGGCAGCAATCGTCTACATAACAACCACTGATCAATAATGCAACCATTGACAATCCATAGCAACCATTTACTTCCAAAACAACCACTAAACTTGCCATGGAAATCAGTGACATCCATAGCAACATGTGAATTAACACAGCAGCCATTGACTTTCCATAGCAAGCATTGACTTTCATAGCAACCAGTGACTTTCCTTAGTAACCATATACTTTCCATAGCAACCAGTGGCTGACATAGCAACCATTGACTTTCCATAGCAACCACAGACTACTTTAGCACCCAATGACTTTTTAGCTCACCTGTCACAAAGTGTCAGCTTTTGTTATCGCTTTTCATCTGACGCTGTCCGTCTTTAAGCAACATCTCCTCATTAACAGCTAAGCCACTTTCATCCAAACTTCACAGGAATGTCCCTTTGGTGGTCACCTTTAAAAATTGTTCAAAGAATTTAATTCCATGCAAAACTCTTGTTGCCATGGTACCCGAAATAAAAAAAAAAACCTTAAAATTTCCTCTTAAGAAACGCAAAGAGCTAGAGCTTGGATATTTAGCATGAAACATCTTCTAGGGAGTGTCTACCAAGTTTCTTCAAATAAAACCCCTAGGGTCAAAATTTGCCCCACCCCAGTGGGTCATTGATTTACGTTATATGTATAAACTAAAAACTTAAAAAAAACCTTCTTTTACAAAACTCAAATAACTAGAGCTTAGATATTAAGCATGAAACATCTTTTAGTGAGTGTCTACCAAGTTTGTTCAAATAAAAGCCCTGGGGTCAAAATTGGCCCTGCCTAAATATTATTTACACGCTTACTATGAAACGTTTCTTTTTTTCTTTCACTTCATGGTTTCCGGACAATAATTAAGGTTTGGAATGAGCTATTGTAATCAAACTTGGTATATACCAACCTTATGTGGAAACCCTGGTTGGTATTGCATTTGGACCCCTTGGGGTCAAGGTCATCGTTTCTTACAATAGAAAAACGATTTTCGGACAATAACTAGAGTTAGGAATCAAACTTGGTGTATAGCAAGACCCCGGTTGGTTTTGCATTTGGACCCCTTGGGGTCAAGGTCACCATTACTAAAAATAGAAAATTTGTTCCAGACAATAACTAGTTAGGAATGAAATATTGTAATCAAGCTTGGTGTATATCAAGATTATTTGGAGACCCCAGTTGGTATTGCATTGGACTCCTGGGGTTAAGGTCAAGGTCACCGTTACTAAAAATAGGAAAATGGTTTCCGGTAGGAATGAGATATTGTAATAAAACTGGGTTTACTCCCTTAAAACGCGAGTAAAACAATTATTTCCTCATCAAAGCCGTCAAACTGTGATTATCCGAGATATTAAAAAATCAGAAAGTAGACCTAATAAATTCTTTACACTGAATATATAATTAATATAAAGCAAGACACAAGTAGGAATATGGCTTATTATTGGTAGCAGTTATTGACAATTCATTTCAAAAGCTAATATATCGCCTGACGTGTGTTATACGTCGTCGCTTTCATGGAGTAAAGCATTCGTCGAATTGTAAAATCAGTTCTATATGCACTAGAAATAAAGAACATCGAAGAACTAGAAAAATGATGAAAGCTATATCTATCTCTCGGAAAGCATCCTGAAACGAAAAACTTATTAAAACTTTAACAAATCCAATCTATATTTAACAAAACTTGTCAGTTATGAACTGTTCTAATTAAGACAAAATTTAAATACTAAAAAGATATGTTTCGCTACCAAATGTAAAGCCTCGAATGGCCTTAAACACGCCGAGTTGTGCTTTTGTAGAAAACGAGCATTTTCCCGCCAATATTCATACGCTATATGAATATGCAAAACATAAGCAGGCGATATTGAAACGGAAATAATTATATGTATAGCAAGTTCATATGAAGACCCGGTTGGTATTGCATTTGGACCCCTCGAGGTCAGAGCCACTGTTACTAAAAATAGAAAAATGGTTTCCGGACAATAACTAGAGTTAGAAATGAGATGGTGTAAATCAATCTTATATGGAGACCTTGGTTGGTATTGCATTTGAACCTTCTGGGGTCTAAGTCACCGTAACTACAAATAGAAAAATGGTTTCTGGACAATAACTAGAGTTAGGAATGAGATATTGTAATCAAAATTAACAACAATATTTAACTGACTTGCAGAAGAAAACCCCATCAAATTCCATCAGAAACTAAATAAGTTATGACATAATCAATTATAATGGCCATTTACAGTCCAAGGGAGAGAACTGTGATGGACCTCGCACTGATTTTTCAGCATGCAAATTAAATTAACTGAATAAGTAGTTCTATACACACAAGATATATCCAATATAATTGAATACAACTTATTGAGAGTTTAAAAGAGTTATTCTAACCAATTACAACATAAGATTCTTTGATAATATAGGAAAAAAACAACTTTTATAGCCAATAAATGAAAA